AATCTTCTGAATCTCCGCAATAGATATTTACAGGGCTTATTACAACAGCACTGGTACATTGAAAATGAATAAATTATACATTAACTAAGTTTAAATATTCAGCGCATGAGTCAAATGCACTTAAAGGCACTTTTTTTCTGTGTTCACAATAATTTAATTGAAATTTTCATTACAATGCCCTCCTCCCTACAAGTCCTGTCCTCAGGGCTTAAGTAACACCAACAATTTTTTTTTTTTTTTTTATAAGCAACTGTAAACAATGTGAACAATAACTAATATAACTTCGCTCTAAACAAACAAACAAACAACAAGTTCCAAGGGATAGCTAGTGACATTCACTTCCTCCATTAAACATAGTCTCTGAATCTTCGGGGAGGTCGCCGGTTCCGCCTTGGTCTCCTCGGGAGTGGAGCTAAAGCATCAACAGTGTTGTTCGGGACTGGGTCACTTTTACTATCTCCTTCACTTACAGGTGGAACTGGATCAATTTGAGATTCACTCGGGCTTTTACTCTTATCACCATCCGTCTGTTGACCCGTATCCTCTTCTTCATCAGTAAGTGGCACAGGATTAGTTTCAGGAGGCATGTCTATACTTTCGTCATCATACGTCTGGGTCGCTACCGTTTTGTGTCTAACTTCAGGTATAAACCAGGGAGCCACGGCACTTCCACGATATTTCTTGAGACGATCTCAATGTATAATTTTCACGTCGGATCGGGCAGACTTCTGTATTTTATACACAACATCGCTCAAATTATCAACAATAGTGAATGGCCCCACCCATTGGCATTGTAGCTTCGGACTGAGTCCCTTCTTCCTAAGTGGGGAGTACAGCCACACCATGTTTCCAATGCAGAATTTTTCTTCATCTGAACGCAGATCATAATACTTCTTTTGTCTCTTGGCTGCCTGTCCAAGCTCATGTCTGGCTATGTTGAAGGCCTCTTCCATCTTCATCTGCATTTCAACGGAATACTCAAGAGTGGTCTTTTCCTGGTCTACTGGCGAGCCAACCATAACATCTATGGGGAAGTTGATTTCTCTTCCCAACATGAGACGATTTGGAGACAGAGTTGTACTATCGTGCACAGTCGCTCGGTATGCCATCATTAAGTATGGTATATAACCATCCCAATCTGTTTGATGCTTAGAAGTAAAGATCTTTAACATAACGCCAATTGTCCTGTTAAATCGTTCCACCATACCGTCACTCTGAGGATGATAGGCGGTGGTAGCAGTTTTCTTCACACCCAGGAGTTTGCAAATCTCTCCAAACAGCTTCGACTCAAAGTTCCTTCCTCTGTCGGTGTGTATCTTGCGTGGGGCACCAAATCTGCAGATAAATTCTTCCACCAACTTCTTTGCCACAGTTTCAGTCTCCTGATTTGGAATGGCATAGGCTTCAGTCCATTTGCTGAAATAGTCACTAACCACCATGACATATCGATTGTTTGAATCGGTGACATGAAAAGGACCTTTGATGTCTAGTCCAATTCTTTCCATCACAGCACCAACTGCCGACTGCTTCAACTTAGGTCGCCTCTTTTTAATGGGATTCTTTGCAGCTCCGCACTCATCACATTGTTGTACCCACAGTTTGATTTGGGAGTCCATACCCGGCCAATGACATCTTTCTTTAAGGGCTAAGATAGTGCGATGTACTCCAAAATGTCCTCCAGTGGGATTGGCGTGAAGATGCTCAAACATCGTTCCCCTTAACGGTTCAGGGGTCAACAATTGCCAATGGAAATTTTTACCTTGTTTCTTGACTAGCCATTTCCGGTACAGCACCCCGTTCTTCAATTTTAACTGGTCAAATTGGCTCCAATAACGCTTAAGTGGTTCACTTTGATCACGAACCGTCTCAAAAGACGGCCTCTGTCCACATTTCTTCCACTGCATTACTTTGCCAAACACCAAATCTTGTTCCTGTAATTTCCCTAGATCTTGAGGCGAAATAAAAGGCAACCAATTAGGCTCCAACGAACCCTCTTCTCGTGACTCTGTGCTGATTACTCGTCTGGAGACCTTGGTGGGTGCAAGTTCTGAACACTGTCGTTTACACTGGGAACAAGGTCTTCTACTCAAACTGTCGGCGTTTAGATGATGTTGACCTGGTCGATGCTCAATTGTAAAATGGTATTCACCTAGAATTTCTAACCAGCGTGCTATCTGTCCTTCCGGTTCCTTAAAATTCAGCAACCATCTCAAGGATCCATGATCACTTCTAATCTTGAATTGACGTCCACAGAGATAATGTCTGAAGTATCGAGTAAAATGAACCACCGCTAATAACTCACGGCGGGTAACACAATAGCGCCTCTCTGCCTTACTCAAACTCCGACTGGCATATGCAATGACTTTTTCAACCCCATCTTGACATTGGCTGAGAACTGCACCAATCCCATCTTGGCTTGCATCTGTGTCTAGGATAAACTGGCCCTCTGGCGCCGGAAAAGATAATATGGGTGGGTTGATCAATGCTGCCTTCAATTCTTGAAATGATGCCTCCTGTTCATGGTTCCACTCAAATGCACGATCTTTCTCCGTCAGCTGTTGAAGAGGCTTAGCTTTCTTTGAAAAATCCCTCACAAATCGTCTGTAGTATGAGCACAATCCCAAAAAGCTCCTCACATCCTTCACACATCTGGGGGTAGGCCAAGTCTTCACTGCGTCAATTTTGTCTGGATCTGTTGATACACCATGTTCTGACACCACATGCCCAAGATACTGTATTTCGTGCTTGAAAAAGGTACACTTGCTAGGTTTTAACTTTAGTCCAGCTTTACCTAGACGCTCTAACACCAAAGCCAACCGATCAAGATGCTCTCCCACAGTTTTCCCAAAGACGATAATGTCATCTAAATATATCAGGCAAACTTCCCAGTGTAAGCCAGTGGGGATCAACTCCATCAAACGCTCAAACGTTGCAGGGGCGTTGGCGAGGCCAAATGGCATAACTTTAAACTGAAATAGTCCTCGTCTTGTGATGAAAGCCGTCTTTGGTTTATCACGAGGATGCATCGCAACTTGCCAATATCCCATCATCTGATCGATCACTGAAAACCATTTGGAACCATGTAAAGTGTCCAACGTTTCGTCAATCCGTGGTATGGGATAAGCGTCTTTCTTGGTGACATGATTTAATCGTCTATAGTCTATGCAGTACTACCATCCTTCTTGGACACTAAAACAATTGGTGAAGCCCAGGGACTGTTCGCTGGCTCAATTATTCCCAAGTCTAACATGCGTTGTAGTTCCCTGTCTCCCTCTTCCACTTTACTAATGGGTAGTCGTCTGAGTGGTTGTCGAATTGGGTGCTCATTTTCTGTGCAGATTTCGTGCTGAACAAGACTGGTATGTCCCAAACCCTCTGGTCCCGTGGCAAATACTCTACGGTGTTGGATCAAAAGTTCTGCCAGTTTCTCACGGTCAGCAGGGGTCAACTCTGAACGTGATCTCTCCCACAAGTCCGTTAAATGTTCTGGAACAACGTTCAATTGATCAGGTTTGACGATCGTAACTGGGTCTTGAAGTTGAGCGTGGTTAACATGTACTTTTTCCCCTTCTACTTTGGCCACCACGGTATTTTCCTTCAATATAACCTCGTCTTCACCAACATTTACAATTCTGAGTGGTACAGGCGAACCGTCCAATGTAACCAAACCCCTGGCCAAAGTTACTGCAGAATGCGACAAAAGTTGTTGTGATGGCTCGACTAACCCCTCTGTGTAAGTAGGGCCTACGTTTTAATGTTCCACTGGTAAAAATCTCCGATCTGGGTGGAATCGTAATCGAGGTGGTAAGGAGAATATGACTTCTGGTGGCAACATCCTTCTCAGCAGTTAGTAATTGCGTCGTATTTTCCCCAATACTAAGTTGAAATGAAGAAAAATCCAGCTTTGCACTAGTTTTCCTCAAGAAATCAATTCCAAGAATTCCGTCAGAGGCAATGTTGGCCACAATTGAGGTATGTTTAATTTGTCTACCGCAAATGTTCAGGTTCAAAGTTATCTTTCCTTTCACTCTTAATGCTTCTCCTGTAATGCCTATCACCTTCTTCAGAGTCTCACGTATAGGGGGACGGGATTTCCTTGGCATTTGCTGGTAAATTCTTTCTTGTTGCGTGGACTGTACCGTCGCTCTAACGCTTCGGCTAACGCATGGAATTGTTTGCGTTTTTCAACCGGTAAATCACTCAGCACTTGGGCCGCTTCACCTCTCAAGGCCATGGCAAGGTGGGTGCTGCGTTCTTCGTCTGTCCACCGGTAATTATCTGAGCATATTTCAAGTTGGGAACGAAAATCATCCCAATCACAGTTTTTCCCATCAAATGTTCCCAATTTAATGGTTGGCCCAGTCTTGTACATCCTTTGATCTGCATAACTAGGCATGGCAGTAGATGTCCTAGGAGGTGGGGAAATATCAGGCACGGGATTTACTCGTCGGTGAGCTGCATTCAACGTGGCTTGTAGGTCTGCTTCCATCTCGCCGTCTTACACCAAGTAGTTCATCATCTACATCAATGTCTGGGTTATAACGTGGAGGTAACACATTTCCACTCCTGGTAAAAGNACCTCTCTGCCTTACTCAAACTCCGACTGGCATATGCAATGACTTTTTCAACCCCATCTTGACATTGGCTGAGAACTGCACCAATCCCATCTTGGCTTGCATCTGTGTCTAGGATAAACTGGCCCTCTGGCGCCGGAAAAGATAATATGGGTGGGTTGATCAATGCTGCCTTCAATTCTTGAAATGATGCCTCCTGTTCATGGTTCCACTCAAATGCACGATCTTTCTCCGTCAGCTGTTGAAGAGGCTTAGCTTTCTTTGAAAAATCCCTCACAAATCGTCTGTAGTATGAGCACAGTCCCAAAAAGCTCCTCACATCCTTCACACATCTGGGGGTAGGCCAAGTCTTCACTGCGTCAATTTTGTCTGGATCTGTTGATACACCATGTTCTGACACCACATGCCCAAGATACTGTATTTCGTGCTTGAAAAAGGTACACTTGCTAGGTTTTAACTTTAGTCCAGCTTTACCTAGACGCTCTAACACCAAAGCCAACCGATCAAGATGCTCTTCCACAGTTTTCCCAAAGACGATAATGTCATCTAAATATATCAGGCAAACTTCCCAGTGTAAGCCAGTGAGGATCAACTCCATCAAACGCTCAAACGTTGCAGGGGCGTTGGCGAGGCCAAACGGCATAACTTTAAACTGAAATAGTCCTCGTCGTGTGATGAAAGCCGTCTTCGGTTTATCACGAGGATGCATCGCAACTTGCCAATATCCCATCATCTGATCGATCACTGAAAACCATTTGGAACCATGTAAAGTGTCTAACGTTTCGTCAATCCGTGGTATGGGATAAGCGTCTTTCTTGGTGACATGATTTAATCGTCTATAGTCTATGCAGAAACGTGTACTACCATCCTTCTTGGACACTAAAACAATTGGTGAAGCCCAGGGACTGTTCGCTGGCTCGATTATTCCCAAGTCTAACATGCGTTGTAGTTCCCTGTCTCCCTCTTCCACTTTACTAATGGGTAGTCGTCTGAGTGGTTGTCGAATTGGGTGCTCATTTTCTGTGCAGATTTCGTGCTGAACAAGACTGGTATGTCCCAAATCCTCTGGTCCCGTGGCAAATACTCTACGGTGTTGGATCAAAAGTTCTGCCAGTTTCTCACGGTCAGCAGGGGTCAACTCTGAACTTGATCTCTCCCACAAGTCTATTAAATGTTCTGGAACAACGTTCAATTGATCAGGTTTGACAAGCGTAACTGGGTCTTGAAGTTGAGCGTGGTTAACATGTACTTTTTCCCCTTCTACTTTGGCCACCACGGTATTTGCCTTCAATATAACCTCGTCTTCACCAACATTTACAATTCTGAGTGGTACAGGCGAACCGTCCAATGTAACCAAACCCCTGGCCAAAGTTACTGCAGAATGCGACAAAAGTTGTTGTGATGGCTCGACTAACCCCTCTGTGTAAGTAGGGCCTCTACGTTTTAATGTTCCACTGATAAAAATCTCCGATCTGGGTGGAATCGTAATCGAGGTGGTAAGGAGAATATGACTTCTGGTGGCAACATCCTTCTCAGCAGTTAGTAATTGCGTTGTATTTTCCCCAATACTAAGTTGAAATGAAGAAAAATCCAGCTTTGCACTAGTTTTCCTCAAGAAATCAATTCCAAGAATTCCGTCAGAGGCAATGTTGGCCACAATTGAGGTATGTTTAATTTGTCTACCGCAAATGTTCAGGTTCAAAGTTATCTCTCCTTTCACTCTTAATTCTTCTCCTGTAATGCCTATCACCTTCTTCAGAGTCTCACGTATAGGGGGGCGGGATTTCCTTGGCATTTGCTGGTAAATTCTTTCCGAAATTAAAGTTACGTCAGAGCCAGTATCCAACAAAAACAGTCTATTACTGGCTGGCAATTTCACACTAATGTATACGGATCCGACGGCTGTACCTTCCTCTTTTACTGGACCTGTCACGTCCTCGGCCATCGGTCGGTCCATTTCCTCGGCCTGGGTTAGTTTAAAGTCGGCCCATTGTTTGGTTTTGGTCCATTGTTTGGTTTTGGTCCATTATTGCTGCGGAATCTGCCTCCTGGTCTGGGTGCCGTGGGTACGGGAGCCGGGTTGGAATTGGGGACGGGAACAGAATTACCCATAGAACGTTGATTTCCCTGGAAGTGGTCTTGCCTTCCCCGCTCACTGGCTCGTCGTAAGTTTTCAATCTCTGTCGATTGAGCACGTAGGTTGTTATTGAGTTGTTCCAGTAATTGATTCATCTTCGCAATTTGGCCATTGGAAATTTCTTCTTGCTCACTCACCCTGTCGGCGGTACGAGCGTAGACTTTATCATTTTTGCGCAGACAATTTCGTGCCGTTTCTGCTTCCTGGCAAGCTTCCATCTCAATGGCAACTTCTTCTGCCTCAATTAAGGTACGTGGTCGATATCGCATCACTTCCAGCCGGAGGCGAGGTTCATCTAAGGCATCTAAGAAATACTCTCTTTCAAACGTAGCTCGGACACGTTCATCTTCACCTGGCCAACCAAGTCGCACCAAGCGTCGTATGGCTTGGGCGAGTTCACTAATTGACTCCTTTGGTTTGCGTCTCCGGGTGCGGGCTTGCACTCTGTACAATTCTTTCTTGTTGCGTGGACTGTACCGTCGCTCTAACGCTTCGGCTAACGCATGGAATTGTTTGCGTTTTTCAACCGGTAAATCACTCAGCACTTGGGCCGCTTCACCTCTCAAGGCCATGGCAAGGTGGGTGCTGCGTTCTTCGTCTGTCCACCGGTAATTATCTGAGCATATTTCAAGTTGGGAACGAAAATCATCCCAATCACAGTTTTTCCCATCAAATGTTCCCAATTTAATGGTTGGCCCAGTCTTGTACATCCTTTGATCTGCATAACTAGGCATGGCAGTAGATGTCCTAGGAGGTGGGGAAATATCAGGCACGGGATTTACTCGTCGGTGAGCTGCATTCAACGTGGCTTGTAGTTCTGCTTCCATCTCGTCTATTCGCCGTCTTACACCAAGTAGTTCATCATCTAAATCAATGTCCGGGTTATAACGTGGAGGTAACACATTTCCACTCCTGGTAAATGNGGAAATTTGTTGAGAAAGCAGAAGAGTTTCATAAAAAACACAATGCAGATTCTAATACTTAACATTTGTGATATTTTGGGGCAGTTTAAGCTTTATGGCAATATATTTTTTTAAAATTTATTTCCTCATTGATTTTTATTTATTTATTTTCTCTTTTTTTAGAAAGTTAATGTGTTAGACATTTTATTATCAGCATTCTTTTGTTTTTTTTTTTAAATTTCACTTAAGCATACGTACATACCAGGAGTGGATTCAGGCTGTCTTCTGGTTCTTCCAAGTTTATATGAACGAGTAACTAATTTTTTTCTGTCAGAAGACAGTCACTTATAAAAATGGATTAACAAAGATAATTTGGAAGACTGTCATAAAATATCTCTGGATCAGCCCCTGCATACATGCATACTTATATTCATACATACACAAATATACTGTAACGGATTTTATGTTGGTATTTCAGTCCGTACAGTATTAAAAGGGATTCGTCATTGTTTTAAAGGTTCAAATCCAAGAAACAAACTGCTGATGTAAAAAGGTTCAAAATGTTTATTAAAATCCAACAAAATGCAATGTGGTAATAATGCCCACTCTGATATTCAGTTATTGTCTTTAAGTCCACGTTAAATATGTGTTCTTTGGATAAATTCAGTTAATGTCCAGTTTTAGTTCTGCATAAACTTCCAATCGGTGGGAGACTGTGACAGCAGTGGCTCCTCTTCTACCGGCCCACAGCTACAAGTGCCAACACGGTGCGCACCTTTGGGAGAGTCTAAGCGGTAGACTTCCCTCCTTCAATCAACGACTTAGGGTGCTGGCACGGCGCACACCCTCGGGACAGCTTGCTTCCCGTTTTCCAACCAACCACTTGCCTAGAGTTCCGACACGGCCCGGACTCTCCGATCAATCACCTACTTAGCGTTCTGTCACGGCAGAAACCCACGAGAGAGCCCAACTTCCCGTTCTCCGTCCAGCCACCTGCTAGGGGTCTCGACACGGCGTAAACCCTGCGACAAACCACCTGCCATGGGTTCCGTCACGGCACGAACCCACGGGAGAGCCCAACTTCCCGTTCTCCGTCCAGCCACCTGCTAAGGGTCCCGACACAGCGTAAACCCTGCGACACCAACCAACAGCTAAGGGTCCCGACTCGGCGTGAACCCTGCGACACCAACCAACTGCTTTTACTACCGCCCCAGTGAACCTGCCAGAGAGAACAAGTCCTCTCAATCGGAACCTCGAGTGTAGCTCTACTGCGTCTGGGAATCTTCACCCAACGAGTGCTTGACAGCTGAAAATGGGGCGGATGGTGGCTCTTACCCAGGGGGTTTTTTGGACAGGGAGAGAACCACTACTAAACGTGTTTACACTCACGTGTAACTACTGTTTAGCAGAAAAGTCTAGTTTTCTGAAAATCTTCTGAATCTCCGCAATAGATATTTACAGGGCTTATTACAACAGCACTGGTACATTGAAAATGAATAAATTATACATTATCTAAGTTTAAATATTCAGCGCATTAGTCAAATGCACTTAAAGGCACTTTTTTCTGTGTTCACAATAATTTAATTGAAATTTTCATTACAATATAAAGACAGTGTTTTCGTTGTCGTGTCTGCAGTCAGCAGTCTCAGAAATCCACCCTTGAATAACGTAGACCTTGTGAAAGCGCTATTTTTTAGGCCAGGTCTGATGGTTTTGTTGCCTCATGTTTGATGTGGTCTGATTTGAATCCCTCATTTCCTCAGTCTCAGTCCCTGTTCGGGCGCCAAAATATGAAACAGACTGAGACTAGGGATTCACATTTTATTGATGACCTGTAAAATGTGTGCCAACGTGAAATGATGAATGTCTCTTTGTAATAATAATGAAAAGAACAAATTACGAAAAAATAAAAATAAATTAATAAATAACATTCAAAATAAACTAAACAAACTGAAAAATACTTATCTTTATAACAAAATAAGAATAATTACAATCTTAAATAACAAAAAATAAACCAACCAAGCCAATATTTACCTGTAAAATGTGTGCCAACGTGAAATGATGAATGTGCCGCCAAATGGAATAGGGCGTGTATTTATATAAAAACGAACGTACACGAACACAAACGAAAAGAAACGAACACAATACACTACCACAATCACACCTCATACATACACATGTTACAGAGCGATAAACAACCTGTCTGCAACCATTTGGTGATTGGAAACCAGTTGCAGGACTGTAGCAATCGCTTAGTAGCAGCAAGGTCGCACAGAATATATATGTTGCCAACTTGTGACAGTAGCTGCTTCCTCATAAATTCCCCTCTTACACAGCACAAAAACAAATCTTTCCGATTTTTCAGCCTCCGCGGAATGACGTCGGAACAGTGCAAGCTGGCCTTTACAACGCGCGACTGAATGACGTTTTTCCGCGCAGGAGTACCCCTTTCTCTTTTACACGGCCTTTCAACAGGCGTAATCTCGTTCGTCTTTCTTCGCGACTGAACAACGTTTTTCCGCAGGGGTCCTGCCTTGGTATTATGTGACGGTCGTTATTGGATTGTGACTGACATTAAAGAACATGAGATTTCAATGGAACTGAAAGATTTATATTGTTAATTCCTTTGAAAATTTCATTTTTTTATCTTAGGTGCGCTACATGTATATACTGTCGAAAGGCGTGATCATCCCGATCATAAGAACATCTCTCCTGAGGAAGCTTCCCCCGAGGGCTTATCATATTTTGTTATTCATCATTTCTCTTTGCTGATTTATCCCTAAAAGTTGTATTTGATCTATCAAATCCAGTCCAATTCACAGTCGTCTCAAAAACCATTTTAAATTAATACAGATTGCTTGGAAGCGATATCAAAAGTCTATATTTAAAGCATGATCATTATTTCCATAAAATGGCAATGAATTATAATGAATAAGACTTGGTCAAAGGCCATGCTGTTTGATTATTAAAAGTTTGACCGCGGCCTTGAATAATGCAACATTGGTTGCAGCAATGCAAGTCAATTAGCGGATACATAACTGACTAGCATTTAACTTGTCGCTTGTACTATAGAAATTGTTAATTACACTTGCGCTTACAATCTGGATTTTATAGGATACGTTTTAAGGTGTCTCCGGAGTAAAAAACATTTCACTGAAATCATGATACACAGTCAGTGTATTTTTAATTTTTATTTTTTTCAGTTAATAAGGTGTATTAATAAAGATTCCTTTGACGATCGCGATTTAGACTGCGGCAGTTTGAATAGATCTTAAGTTTATTAGACTGATGGACAAGATGTAGTGCTTATGCATTGAATCAGTGTGTGCAGTGGTGCAACCAAGCTTTAATTAATAAGGGAGTTGGAAGAACCAGCGGGTGACCGTTAAACGTTCTAATATTTAATCAACACTGAGCGGATAACAAACTAAAAAGGATAAAGGTGTGTCACTCTATGTGCTGGTGGCCGGGGAAGTTTTAACAAAGCCCGACTAACAACAATGTACGTCACGGTCACGTTCAATATTTCATCCAGCTAAAAGACGAAAACAAAAATACTTTAATACCAATATTGACTGGAGATGAATTAAAACATTTTTTTATTTGATGAATAAGTATTGCCCAACAACTGATCGTAGTACGTCCCGCGATAAAATTTCGCTCGATAGACCATGTCTAGAACCATTAGTAAACTATTAGTTCTAAACTAGCTGTCATAAAAAACCTTGCTTGAAAAACTGAATAACTATAAGACCATTGTTATTTTGCAAGGTTAAGCAGCGATAAATATGTTGATATATAGCAAACATTATCAGTATGATGTGCCGTATTACGTATATAACAGGAGTACTTTTCTATTGATGATGATATCTTGCTCACAGTGGGTGACGAAGAGAAGGGGGTGGTTAAACCACGTAAGCGAAGAATCACTACACATAAAACGTGCATCGTGTGTCACTTTTAAACGGTTTCTGTTAATGAAAATGTATCATATCGCAATATACTGATTTCTTCATAGAAATTTATTTTTCACATGAAAATAAGTAAATCGCCGCAAGTCAAAAACGGCTATTTTGTTTATAAGTTCTGGACTTTGACAGAGAAGGGCAGGCCTGCTTTAGATGATATGACAGCCGGATTCGGTTGTATTTGTATGGGGATTGCTACCAGTAATTAACACAGTTTTCACATGCAGTACCATTGAAACACGACGGTCGAGAGATGACTCATGAGCTGAGGTCAGTATAACAAGCAGCATGGTGGCCAATAAGCTATTTAACCTTTTATGTAACCTCCCTCCAACCGCGTGTTGTGAACCGTCTAAAATGACTGTAACTTTAATTTATAACTGTACTGAATTCCAGTGTATCAATTTCCATTAACGAATTAACTAATCTATGGGCTCCGACGTGACTCCAGATTCGACTCAGTCTTTCACTTTACGTGCACAGAGAAGCATAACAGAACAACCTCACATCTTCAGTCTCAGATCAAAAAAGTGTCTTTATTATGGACAAGCTTCAAGTTATATACAGATTATCTACGGGGAATCTATGTGTACATGTGGCTGCTTCTTATTTACATACGTGTACATGTGGCTGCTACTTATTTACATACTAATTGTTGTGCAATATTAACAGGTGATATGTATCTGTCCCAGGCATAGGCCTACCTATGGGCCTCTACAGAAAATAATATTTATGTATGCAGGACAGACGCAAATTATATAATAACACGTTGATTAACTATGAATACACAATGTGGAATTAGTGCAGGATTCCACACGCCTTCCCCTCTTTACAAAAAAAAAATAATGGTACATAATTTTTTTTAAATTATATCAACGTGAACAACCAATACTCCCAGAATATAAAAATCCTTTTAATTAAACCCATCGAAAAAGTTGTGCCAAACTTTAATTTGTGATATGTAATCTGTAAACATGTACTAACATTATCTGTAAACGTGAATCCTACAAACGAATTTTACATTTTCATCAACATCAAAATTAAAATTCATA